GGGAGGGAGGGGGAAGGGGGAGGGAGGGGGGAGGGGGGGAGAGGAGGGGGGGAGAGGAGGGGGGAGGGGGAGGAGGAGGAGGAGGCTGGCTAACTGGATCAGTGGGTCAGGGGTGGTGCCAGAAAAGCAGGTTGTGGGTGACTTCTGGCAGCCAGGGACTGCTGTCTTAACCCCAGCTGTTCTCCCAAATGCCAGTCTGAATGTAACAATCAGAAAGGGGCATATGGGTTGCTCAACACCACGTGGAACCAGTATGGACACAAGCACACCAAGAGTAAGGGTCCAGCACTACCTTCCTGGGTGTTATTAAGAGGGCAAAAGCTAGACCCACTTTTAACTGAAATGCAAGAGTAACATGATTTTTTTTTAATGTTAGACCTCAGCAGTTTGGGTTTACAAATGAGAAAGCTTTAATTTTTATTTGAGGGGATTCCTAAGGCTGGAAACAATTTAGAGTCACATCCTCACTCAGACTGGGCAGAAAGAGACACTGGGGCAAATGCCAACCAGCAAAGAGTGGCAAGTAGTTTAAGAGCCTCAACATGGGTTTCAAGAGGAAATTTATCAATGACAGCTCCCCTAACTGGCTTTTTGGCATCGCACAGCAAGGACAGGCACTACCTTGTTTGTAGGGTACTCTTGTCCTGCACAGTTTGGATTCAGAATTGGTGCTTGACTCTTCAACTTCTAGAATCAATTTCGCAATATACTTGTTCCTCAGTATCCATGGGAGATTGGTGACAAAACCATTCAAGGACACCATAATCCTCAGAGGCTCAGGTCTGCTATATAAAGTAGCATAGCATCTGCATATAACCTATGCACATCATCCCATATACTTTTATCTCTAGGTTGCTTATGTTACCTAATACTACATAAATGCTATGTACATAGTCGTTAAACTATTGTTCAGGAAACAATGACAAGAAAGTCTGTACATGTTCAGTACAGACAAAAGTTTTTGAATATTTCCCATGGACATGGAGGGCTGATTGTATATTACTCTTCAGTCAGTTCTGAAGGCCCGACTCAGGCAGCTTTATTCACCCCAAAAGATGATTCAAGAACAGGGCAGCAATATAGAGTTCTAATTGACTCATGATAACAAACACTTGCAATGTTTACTCCAAATTCCTAAGGAGAGCAGATGGTTTCAAGCCTGTTTTAAAACTGGAATATACCCTGAGTCACAAGTTGTTTTTGGTTGTTTTCTTAGTTCTTTAAAATGTGTGAAGGAGACATTATTGCATTAAATTGGTGAGACACACATTCTATGTTCTGGTATATTGCATCACTAACCATGATTTCATGGGCAGTGTTTCCCATCTGTAAAAGTGGACCCAACATCTCTTTTAACAATACCACAGCAGGAAGGTTTACAGGTTACCAAACATTTTCGAACAATAAGAAATTTAGGACTGGGGTTGTGGCTCAGGTTGCCTAGCATGTGTGAGGCACTGGGTTCGATTCTCAGCACCTCATACAAATAAATAAAAAAAAAGTCCATCAACAACTAAAAAATACTTTTTAAAAAATGAAATTTAGATGCATTGTAATATTTATAAGATACTGAATATATGGCCATTGGGAAATATCAGGATTGTTGGAAATATCAGGAATGTTGTCTCAATTAGGGGATTATCCAAATAAATGTCACCAAATTATTGTCTTTGTAAAAGCATTGAGGATCCACAGATGAAATTCAAGGTACTACTATCAACCACAATCCCTGAAGGTAAACACATTGACTGAGTCTGTTAAATCAGCAAGGCCACTTTCCTCTAGTTAATTCTAACATCTGCTACTGGACTGTGCTCTCTGTGTAGTTAACCTTAAAAAAAAAAAGTTATCTGAGTCTCTGAAAGCTGCTTTGCATGATAGAAGCGATGTTCCACTCACATAACTTACATCAAGCATGTGCCACAGGATTACTATCCTAAAGGTCAGATTTTCTTTTTTTTTTAACCAAATAGCCAAAGTTACATTGGTGGGTGGGGGGGGGGTCTTTATTTCTTCAGCCCTACCCCAATGCAAATCAAGAAGCATGCTAGAGCCCAGACCTACCTTTGTGACAGACAGTTCCTTGGATTTAGACTCAAACAGGTGCTCCAGTTTGGAAGTGTCCACCTTAATGGGTTCCAGTTTCGACCATAGGAATTCTCTGCAGCGGCGGTTGTTCTTACATGGCCAATCAAAAGGCCTGACTTCATTCCAGAACAGACGGATGGTCTTCTTTTTCTTGGTGAATGCGGGCTGACCCCTGGGTACCTGGGACCACCCTAAGCCCTGAGGAGAGTTAAACACTGGAGGAGGAGGAGCCAATAAATTACCAGGGACTGGAGGGGGTGGGACGCTGTCCAACAGGGGCGGTGGGGGCGGGGGTGGCAGACCCAGAAAGGTGGGCGGGGGTGGAGGTGGTGGTCCTGGGGCTTCCCTGTGACCCAGGTCCACGTCCAGGACATCAATGTCGTCCTCCTCTCCCAGATCGGTGAAATCCATGTCTTGGATTTTGAGCTCCCGAGGATTGGCCATGAGCTGGTCCCAGATGTAATCGGACTCTGTTTTCAGCTGCGCAGGTGCTGTCTCGGGGACCTTGTCATTGGACCCATCCTCAGAGATAGGGCCTCTCCCCAGGTCCCCGCTGTTGAATTTCTCAGCAAATGCTTTTACGCTTCCCCGGTTGTCCAAACATTCGACGTCCACCCTCCTGACGCTCTCGTCCTGGGCCTGAGAGTTGGCCTGCAGGGTGGATATCCTGGAGGCGAGGCTGGCTACCGCCTCCGCCTCCGGCTCCTTGCTCCTGGTCTCTCTCTCGTCCTTCTCCTCGTCATCCGTGGACTTTCTGTTATGGGCATACAGCATGTCCAGCATGAACCGTTTGTTGGTGAGGATATCGCCACACTGTCCATTTACACCTCCATCCTGAATGCCTGTGGACCACACACCTGAAGGCACACAGAAGAAAATAAAAATGAGAAGGTGGCAAGGGGGCTTTACGTCCATGAGAAAACCAATGAGGGAACACAGGGACAGGACACATGCAGTGACTTCAGAAAAAGACACTGAAATAAAGCAATTAAAGCAGAAAGGCCTGAGACTGACGGCTTGCTCCATGACCAGGACCCCTTCCCTGTATCATAATGCTCCTGGCTCCCACCTGGGTTCACGCGAGAAATTTTCCTCACCTTCTCTGCCCTCCTGTGGCAGCTGGTCAGGACCCACCAGGTCACAGGCAAGGGGCCTCTTTTCTAACTATATAAAAAAGGGAAGGAAGCTGTTCCCTGGCCCAGAGCAGGCACAGGAGAGGGGCTGTAAGGTTACCTTTGTCTCTCCCCAGACTCCAACTCTGTATCCATACAAACCATGCCATGAGCTTCAAGTGAAGTTCATGATGGCTTACCACCACCAGAACTTTCCACACCCCTCCCCTCTCCTCCCTTCCCATCTCATCTTCAGCTAATTACCTCGCCTAATTTACCAACTTAACAGATGAAGTCAGAAGATCTTCCAGAGCCTCCATTCCATCTCTACCCTCCCTCCTGTGACTATCCATAAATTGTCCTTTAGCAGGGTTCAACTGTTACATCAGGAGCCCATGCCAGTGATTTTGTCCTGCATCTCCCAGGCTTCTCCTACTGGAAGAATATGAATAATTTCTCTTTAAAAATTCTTAGTTGTTTATGGGCCTTTACTACTTATATGTGGTGCTGAGAATTGAACCCAGGGCGTCACACATGCTAGGCAAGTGCTGTATCATTGAGCTACAAACCCCAGCCTGAGTAATTTAATTTCTCCCATAAAAAAAAAACAAGTAGACTTTCTTGACCCCATTTCTGTCTTCACCAGTCACCCAACTTTTCTCCTTTAAGGTCACACCATTTACAAGAGTATAAGAGTTGTTTTGCTCACCGTCTCCAATTTTTCTTTTATTTTCTCTAGAACTCAATCAAATAGAGCTTTTGTTCCCAATGGTCTTCAAAGCTGCTCCTTTCCAAGTGACCGCGACCTTCACTAGACAAAGCTGATCTCCCCCTTCTTCTCCATCCCCTGCCAGGATGCAACATTCACTTTCCTTCTTTCCACTGCTCCTTCCCCGACTTCTCCTTGTTTTTCCTTTGAATGTCCATTGCTCTCCTCTTTTCATCTACCCCACTCTTATAGTCATCAGTTCATCTAGTCTCAGGGCTTTCACATTCCCAGGTTCTCTGCCGTCACCATAGCATCTTCTGCAGTGGTTTGCACTCTCAGCTGGGGTGGCTTCATGCACCTTGCTGCCAATTCTAAAGACACTGAGATTGCCCTCAACTCCTATTTTTTCATCTTCTACATACCAAGGAGCCTCCTTTGCCGACTAAATCCTCATGTTACAGCCAGAATCCAGCCACTTTCCTCATCACACTCTACTGCCAAGACCCTGGGCCCAGCCTGCACAAGTTGCCCCTGTAAAGTTGTCCTACTGTTCAATGCCACGGTAGGTGAGTGGCCGAGTCTCAACAGACAGGCTGGTTCTTTCTCCATTTGATGGGAAATGTTGGCCTTTCATTTTCTGGCAACAGGGAAAAGCGTATTTCTAGATAGTTTTTGTACCTGGCTAGTTTTCTTTTTATATCTTTTAAAAATTAGCAGATTATTATATAAAATAGATTTCTGCGTGACATTTTCATATACACATACAACATACTTTGATCCTATCATTTATCTACTTTAATCATTTTATGGTGTCTCTTTGTCTTTAGTAATTTCCTTTGCTCTGAAGTCTACTTTATCTGACATTAACATAATTACTTCTACTTTTCTTTGATCAATGTTTGCTTGATATCCCTTTTCCCAACTTTTAACATTCAATCTTCGGGTCATCATGTTTGAAAAGAGTTCCATACAGACAGCATATAACAGCATATAATTAAGCTTTTCAAAAACTCCACTGTCAATCTCTTAATTTAAAGTAACTGAAATGTTAGGGCTTAAGTCTGCCAGTTTGGTCCCCACCCCCACCATTTCTCCTTTCTTGGTTATTGTGCATTATTTGAATTTTTTTAAAAATGATTTTTAGTGTTTTTATGTACATTAAAGCATTTTTCTCAGTGGTTGTTGTATTATAACATACACACTAACCTGCCGTGATCTACAAGTGTTGATGTTTAACCACTTTAAATGCAATGAAGAAAACTTTTCTGTGTAGTTCCTTTTACCATCTATGCTTTCAAAATTATCTGAAATATTTCTTCTATATACAGAGAAATACTATATCAAATGATATTAAAACTTTTGCTTCAACTTTCAAATATTATTTCAGAAACCTCTGAGGAGAAAGTCTATTTTCTTTACCCTATTTCCACGCATTCTGTTCTTCCCTTCCTGAAATTCCAAGCCTTCTATTATTTCATTTCTGTTCAGAGAAGATCCTTCCACCATTCTTGAAGGGAAAATCTGCCAGTGATGGATTCTCCTAGTTTGTATTCATCTGAGAAAGCCTTATGTTCCCTTTATTCTTTAAAGTATACTTTTGCCGAATACAGAACTTATGGTTGACAGTTGTTTCTGGCACTAATAAAATACTGTGCCCTTCCCACTGGCTTCTGTGTGTGTAGATGAGCTCTCCCAGAAATCTGTGTTCCCCTATTGGTCACATATTTCTTTCTAGCCTCCATTAAAACTTTGTTTTAGCTCTTTAGTTTTCATAAGTTTATTATTTGTCTTGGTGTGGATGTCTTTGGACCAAATTCGGGTTGTCTCAGCTTCATAAACCTGGATGTTTATGCCTTTTGACAGACTTGGGACATTTTTGGACAGTATTTCTTCAAACATGTTTTTAGCCCTGTGCTCTTTCTCAGACTCCAGTGACAAGGATGTGAGATCTATTATTATTAGTCCCACTTGTCTCTGAGGAACTGTAGTCTATCCATTTTTTGCTATTTCTTCTGTTAAGATTGCTTTATTTCTACTGACCTTGTTTTTGAGTTGACTATTTCCTTTGTTGTCTCTAATCTACTATTAATTAAATCCACCCCACTTAGTTATTTTGGTTATTAACCCTTTTAGTTCTGTAATTTACCCCTGGTTCTTTTTCATACACATTCTACTTCATTTTCTTCATGTACATCCTGAGTTATTGAAGATTTATTATGATGGCTGCTTCAACATTCTTGTCACATAATTCCAATGTGAAACTCATCTGTGTTGGCATCTGTTGGCTCTCTTTTTCAAGTTGTACTTGCTCTGGTTCTTGATAGGATGGATAGTTTTCAATCATATCCTAGCAAATTTGTGTCTTATTTGCATCCTGTTGAATCTTCTCTCTTAGCAGGCAGTCACCCTTTCCTGGTATAGCATTCAGATCTTGGTGGAAATAGGTGTTTAGCTCCCTGGTGTGTGATGCTGTCATCACCCTGGCAAGGGTGCTGACTCACACTGTCTCAGCACGGATGAGTATGATAAAATTTCAGTTCCCCCCACCTTCTTGGTCCCAGAGCCATCTTCCCAGGGAAAGAAGACCACTGATTTATATTGCATCATCGTCTCTAGGTAGAGGTGGAGGCTACGTTCCCTATCAGTCCTCTTTGACTCTGGGTTGGGGAGATCACTGCAGACTAGCGCTCCCTCCAAATGCAGTATTACCCGCTGTATATGCCAGGTGATGAAGAAGGCTCAGCTCTCTGCTGAGCTCCACTGACATCAAGAACAAGGGGACCAGACGCCTCTTCATTCATTTACCCACTGATGACTTTGTGAGACACTACTGTGCTCTAGGCACAGAGTGAGGACTTGAGGGCTCACAGTGAACCTGATAGACATTTCATCCTCACAAAGCTGACATTTAAGTGTAAACAACAGACAATTACACAAGTGATTTTAACTAAGGGCAATGAATGCTATGTCAAAGCTTCTCATACTTGGGCCACAGAGCAGAACATGTGAAAGAAAAATAGCACCACCTGACTGGAATAAGATGAGTCTCTTTCAGGCTGACCACTCATTTGTCAATAATAGACACAATGATTAGAAATGATATTGGTAATAATTTCAATTACCTCTAAAGTTTATAATTTAACTGAGAACATTTTGAAAGCAAAAGCTACTGTGACAGAACTGCCCTGACTCTGTGGCTATAGGTGCCTAGGAGCAGTGGGGGGTTTTAAAAACCAATAAGCTAGTGCAAATAAACATGATCAAATCTCTTCACAGCACTGGAGAGAAATCACTGTGAAATCCTGGTTCCTGAGTCTACACAACTTGGACACCATCCACTTTTAGTAGAAAGTCAATGGTTCTTCACTGGTAGCAGTCTCCATTTCTGGAAAGTTGACCTTATTTGGTAAAAATACTGCACAACCTGATCCAAGAAAGTTTTGTTCCCCATCTTATTTTTACTAATCCAACTTGTTGATGTTTTGGGGGCATGCCAAACCCAGATATGATGAATAATACTTAAAGCTACTCATAATACATAAAATATGATTTAAGGCCAAAGTGATCAAGAAGACTCACCATATACCCTGTGCACTATGAGCTATGATCAAAATTTCAATGAACATCAATAGTACAAGTAGAATTTGTGATACTAACTACAATCTGACTTTGAAGGAAATTAAGTAAATATCAATTTGTGTAATGCTTTTTGGCACATACATCTTCAACTAAACACACAAGATTTTTGAGGGCAATTTCTAGGACATAAATTAATAAATTCTCAGTTTTTAATTATAATATCATGATTAGAAAAAAAAACCAAGTGGCACATCCTAACTGGAAAATATTTTAAAAGGAACTATTTTAGACTATACTACTGATTGACAGGTATTTTAGAAGACTAATTTTATTCACTCATTCCTTTTTCTTTCATTCTTCTGTGCTTCAGAGCCAAATATATTTTCAGTCTGGGAACTAACAAGTACAAGCAGTAGCTGATTAGTCCCTCTACAGCTTTGGGACTTGAGGATGTGTCCCTTGTATGTAGCTTTACAGAGAGAAGCCTGTACGATTAAGCTTCACTATTGAGGGGTTGGTGAGGAAGGCAGCACACCCTGACAGCACACACATCAGGAAATCAACCTGGTGGTGTCACAGATGTCGTGAATGGTTACAACATCTATAACCTGAAATGCCTTGTTAATTTCTATAAAATTAACAACATCTATAACCTTCTGGGGTATCTCCTTAATCTCAGGTGAGGTCCTTAGGGGCCAAATCTATAATCTAGCATTCCGTTTGATCCTTAACTACAAAGTCCCCATACTCAGGTGAACTGAATTAATAACAGGGGTAATATTTAAAATTTCATAAAGAAAATGCATGTACATCTATGAAAAACAGGAGTCCTGAGTACAATGGAGAAAACTACCTAAATTTGGTATATTCCAGTTTAGCATATCAAATTGACCTCAATACACTGTGAACCACAAAGTTTCAGAAACACTCATTTAATAAATCTATTTCCCTCTGAAAGTAGGGAGTAGATAACAATATGACATATCTCTAAACTGAAATCAGAAACCAAAAAAAAAGGCACCCATACTAATATCAACAACTAAGCAAATAGTGAAATGTGTTTCTCCTCCAAGGCTCATTCTTCAGGAAAAGCACTCATTGCCTGGGCCCTTTTTGTTCCCTGTGGAAGTGAGAAATGCAACAGCAGGGCAGAGGATTTGGGGGAGAAGCATGCTGTTAGTGTGACCATACTCCTCCTGTCCAGATGCTGGGTGACATAGCTCGAGACGTGAGCTGTCCCAGCAGTTCACCTTGGAGGCCAGCCTATGGACAGGCTCTGTAGCAAACCAGGTCCTCTATCTGGGGTTCCCTGCAGAAAGGGGTTTCATTTACCAGTTGCCCTGTCCCTGGAGAGCTTGTCCTCCTTCTCTTCCCTTTCCAAGGTGCTGCTGGAGGACGAGATGCTGGAGGCCGAGCAGTTGTCCCTCTCGTTCACCTCCTCGTTCTGCCTCTCTTTTTCACTGAGGGAGGCTCGCTCTTCGGGCTCTTGCTCCAGTGCCCGCTCCCCTTCACTCTCCGCTTCCCCTTGGGAAGAGGCTATGTCCTGGCTGGCTTCATTGGCAACTTGCCTTGCCTCTGCCTCCAATTCAGGCTCAGGATCCCCAGCACTCACTGGTGAAGATAAGAGTGGAGAGTACATTGACAACAGGGATTTCTTGGCAGAGGGGAGGGTCACCTAAGATGGGAGAACGGATGTGAGGTCGATTCCTCTGTGCTGCTCTGTGATGAACACAAGTCTCAAGATGGCTCCCAAGATTCCTGTTCCCCGGTGATCCAGTCAGATACTAAGGGGGGAGGGGGTACCGCATGCAAGGATCGTGGATTGTGAGATAAAAGTCCTAAATCGGTTGACTTTAAAATATGGAGATTAGGCCCAAGTCCATCAGGTGAACCTTTTAAAATCAAGAATTTTCCAATTAGCAACAGAAAAGAAAGCCAGAGAGGTGAAAAGCAGGCGAATCTTCTTTCACATACTGCTGGCTTTCAAGATGGAGGGCCATGCGACAGAAATGAAGGTGGCCTCTAGAAGCTGAGAATAAAAACAAGGAACAGGGACCCCAGTTCAACAAGTGCAAGGAACTGGGTGGGTTCTGCCTACCTCCTGAATGGGCCTGAAGGTGGACCCTTCCCAGTGCTTCCTAATCAGAGCCCAGCTGGCCACCAGCTTAATTTTCACCTCATGACAGGCAAGGCCAAGAATTTAGTTGAGCCAAGCTGGACTTCTGACCCAGGGAAACTGGGAGACAATAATCGAATGCCGTTTTCAATCATTGTGTGCGCAGTATTTTGCTACACAGCAATAGAAAATACATGCTCTTTTAACAACTTCTGGTGAAAGGTGACAAAATCCACAGGGAATCGATCTGACAAGCAGCAGCATCCCGATGTTTTCTGAAACACTGGCTAAACCAACGAGGCATATCACCCATTGCTTGGATGATGTTTGTTCATCATGTAAAGTTAGTCCACGATTTTGAAAAACATTTAAAAGAATCACTCATGGGCATTAAAGACTATTTATAAACCCATCAAGACTGGTGATTGAATGCTCACACCAAGATGAAATGCTTACATTCTCGCTTGTGCACTAGGGAGCAGGGAAATGGCAGTCAGGCTTATGCATGTTTTTGCTGAGCAAGGCCATCAGCTGTGAACTGTGAATGGGCTGCAAAATGACTGATAGTACAAAAACCTCTGAGCCAGTTGCCACATGCACAACCCAGAGGAGGATGGGTCCTTCCTGAGGATAGGACCCTGGGGCTGGGCAAGGCCACATTGCTGGAATCCTGGCAGCGTATCCAAGGGCAGTGCTCAGGTCCTAGGTACACACTACTATATGAGATAAAGAAATCCAGGCAGGATATGCAGATAGCAGGAACTACATCTGCCTGGAACCTAGAGGAATAGGCAGATCAGGCAGCTCTCTATGGAGAAATTCTGCAGGCTCAAGTGACAACTGGTGACGGGGCATGCAGAGCATTCTCAACCCTTCAGTGGGGAAGGAAAATCCAGGCCTTATTGGGCAGGGGTGCCCAGCTGCTCAGTAAGAACTCATTCTGCCAGGACTTACCTGGGACAGTACCCCTGACCTCTTCCTCTGAGAACAAGGGAGCCAAGTTGGGCACGGAGGGAAGCAGTATGAAATGCCAGTTGTCTGCTGTGTTCCTGGGCGATTTCCAAACACAGAGAAGCAAACCTCCTCCACGGGAATCTCCTCAATGCCCTTCAGGTAGGATATGGGGGTGGAGGAATGAGCCCTCCCCAGCTGCCTGTTTGGGGTTTAATTATGCCTTGTGCATGTTCAGCTGAGGACTCCAGCCCAGACCAGGAATCTCCTTCCCTCTAAGAGCCTGGTGGGAGGAAGCAGGGGCAACAAAGGCCCTCTGCCACCTGGGAGCTGTCCCTAGAGGGAAGGTTTTAGGAATAGGCGGTGTTAGAGCAGTTCCTAGACAAAATGCCCAGGCTAGCAGTACCAGGAAGAAGCCAAAGGGCAGAACACCGTGAGCCCGTGTGCTGGAGAATGGGCACATTGTACAGTTTTGCAAGAAGGGGACGACAGAATGGAAAAGAGTGAATATGACTTTCAAAAAAATCCCCTTTGGTGTGGAAAGACTTTTATGGAAATTTCTTTTTATTTGATAATATAGTATTTAGCCAAGAGATACAAAACCCTATTAGTTTTACAAGCATGGCAAAGGCAGAGCTTCAGCAATGGCAGCGTCATCATTTGGTTGACAGAAAGCATGTGTGTTTGTGCACACTTAACTTCAGAATAGCCACATCAAAACAATAACACACTTCCAGCAGCCTAGCATGTGGCATGCATTTGAGTTTTCAATGGCAAGCATCTGGGGAACACGGGTTGGGGGCCTCTTGGTGGCTCTGTCACCGGCAGGGACAGCCAGGTCTACTTACCATCCCCAGGAGGTTGGGCAGGAGTAGAGAAGATCCATGATTGATGGCTGTTTGACTTCAGCACACGTAAACCCACCGCCTTATTCCACTTGACACATGAGACTCATGCAGCAACGTGGCCCCTGAATGGCTAGGGGCTGAATGGACTGGTGTGGTAATGGACATATAAGCAGTGGCAAAGCCACACCCTCATGGGAAGAAACAGACCCATTTCATTCCAAGCCTAACTGCATGGACTCAGATCTTCAAATCAGTGATTCCAATCACCCAAGTGACTTTTTTTTAATAACAAGGGAGTTAATCATTTCTGAAGCTGCCTCTTGCCCAGAACACATGACTGTGTCCAAAAAGTCTGACTGCAAATCTGTGGCATGTGAGGCTGTCCTGATGAACAAATTAAATGATCACACACAAGTCAACTAAAATAAGCAAAGATTTAAGAGAAAAGATGATAATCAAGAGCAAACAGACAAGCCGTGCACCACGGTAGCACCCATGTCCTCAACCCCACACACCTCTGCCTTCAAAGAAGTTCACTATGGGGCTAGGGACACAGGAACCTATCTGCAGTGGTCACAGTGTGTACTAGATACACTGACAAGGAGGCCTGGAGGGAGCAGCCAGGTTCCGTGCTATAGCCCTTTCCTAGCTGTTTTAATCAAACACAGGTACAACAAGGGCAAAATGTCCCCAGGAGCCATTACCTCATCTTCTCATGTTGGAAGGTCCTCAGATGTTCGCAAAGCCAGTACTGGCTCACAAATTTCTTGTCAGTTCTGGTCAGTAGGAAGCACCAGGATGACCTCTAAGACCCTATGCCAATTTCAGAATGTTCTTCCTCCTCATTCCTGTTTTTTCATCAAGACCTCCTCAACACCCCCATTCACATATGCACAACCATTCCTTTTGAGTCACTGTCCCTAAGCCAGGCCTGCTGCTCCATGGACAGATACAGAGAAAGTTGTCATCTACAAATAGAGTCCTCAGGAAGCAGGAGGAACTATGTAAATCTGTGGTCTATAGGGAACTAAGATCTTTCAAAGCACAGGGTTTACATTCCTAACTGCTACTAATCACAATAGTTATCGAGCCTTTCTCTGACCCAGCAATGGTGTTTGTGGAGACACACATTGATCCAGATAGACCCAGCTCTGTCAGTACAGAGATTGTAGAAGGGCAGAGAGAAAAGATCCTGCCATGTACAATGGCACATTGCCTGTAATCTCAGTGGCTTGGGAGGCTGAGGTAAAAAGATCTCAAGTTCAAAGCCAGCCTCAGCAACTTAGTGATACCCTATCTCAGAAAAGTAAAAGGGGGGAGGCATGTGGCTCAGTGGTTAAGCACCTCTGGGTTCAATCCCTAGTGTGTACGTGCGCGCGCGCGCGCACACACACACACACACACACACAGATCCTAAATGTCCTGCTTCCAATGAGCATGGGAAAATTCTAGCCTCTCAGCTCCCATCAGACAATAAAAAAACACTTATCAATGTTATATATGTTCTAAGATTAAAAGCATGGCTCCCTGAAAATATGGTAAGGGTCTTTTGCAAGGTCTGGAGGGGAGCTATATCTCTGTGCTGAAAGGACATTTAAGCAGAGTCTCCAAATATGAGAGGGAGTTAAAGGGGGAAAGCATTCTGGGCAGAGGGAAGAGCCACACACAGCCCTGGAGCACACAGCATTCAGAGGAAGTAAAAGATGTCCTGTATGGTGGGAGCTCAGAGAGCAAGGGAAGGTGGACAGCAATTGGGGGGTTGAGTCAATGGGCCTAATGTGCCCGAGAGAAGGACCTAGGACTTTACCCTAAGGGCAGTGACAGCTGCTTTAGGTAGAGACAGGTCACATTTCATTTGTCCAGAGGCCTCCCAACCTATGCCTGTGTCATGGGCATGCTTCCTCCTGGGAATAGTTCAGGTGTTCCTATGAGCTATGTGGGAGCTCTGGTCAAGGCTGCACAAACAGTTGAGGGAGCACACCCTGTGATGAAGAGGGTGTGAGAAGCCAGCTCGAGAGAAGACAACAAAGGAGGACCCAGCACCCTGCAGGTAAGTCAGGCACGGGTAAGGAACACTGGTTTATGAACTGGGGGGAGGAGCTGTGTCATGTTCACATTTGAGGGAAGCAGTGGGCTGGCCAGGGCTGCTGGTTTCCTCTGAGGAATGACTATAGGGCATGTCACTTGAACTGTCTGCTGAAGTCCCCGTGACCCCTCTAGGTGGGGGGAGGGCTCTGTGATGACCCCCAGAAAGCTGAGGCTGAAAAGCAGAACAGAGCATCTTGCCAAGGGGGCTAGACAGAAGGGGCAGGGTGTCTCCTCCCTAGTAAGGACCCCACGGCACTATCTTCGAGGCAGGCTCAGCAATGACTGATTCAGCAAACGCTTCAGGGCAAGAGCTGCCAGGGCTTTACACAGGGGTCCGTAACCTCAGATGGAAGGACACAGAGATCTGCCTGCATCTTTGGAGCTGTGCCAGGAAGGAGGACGGCAAGGACTTGGGCTGGTGCCCAGGCAGCCCTTCTCCTGGCAGGGGGTGAGAGTTTGGAAGTGAAAAGAGGACATGGCAAGGATGGCCTGGCAGCGTTCACAGAGTCCAAAACTGGGATCTGTCTCCCTGGACCGCAGCCTGAGAGCAGCCTGATGGAGCTCAGCATCGCCAGAATGCACTTAGCAAAGAGCAGAAGAATGCACTT